AATGGAAGTTGAATGACATTAAAAGATTCGACGCCAACACAAAGAAAAATGTTTACCCGAATGAAGATATACAACCCGAATGAAGATATTGATAGGCTGGATAGACCAAAAGCTTTAGGAGGCCGAGGTCTAATCCAGCTTGAACTAACTCTAAAAACTAAAACATTCGGATTGAAAGCATACCTCACAAAAAAAAAAAACAAAAAAAACAATGACCTTCTCCTACAAATAGTAAAAACACCAAAATCACTCCATCAACAAAGAAACTTCATTCTTCAAGAAATAGCTTAATATACCTGAAATCCTACCAACAAAAAACGAAGCGAATACCATTCTACGCCAAACGAGTAAAACAGAAAGCAAAACATCTTGGCCAAATGAAGTTACAAAAAAAAAAAACCCAACCCCCCTCCCCCCAAAAAAAACAAAAAACTGGGAGGACAAAACGTTGCATGGCAAATACATAAAAAGAACGAAGGAAGCATATGTGAATCAGCAGAAACACATCAGTGGCTGAGGAGCACCGGAATGAAAGCTGAGACAGGGGGGATTATTTATTAAGGGTGGAACTAACCCGAAATGCAGGATCTACGGAAAAAAATTGATAAAACTGTCGACCATATTATCTCAGATGTCCGGAACAGGCAAAAAATGAATAAACCCAGACATGGTAGCGACATATGTGCACTGGAAGATATGCAAGAAGCACAAAATCGAAACCACTGAGAGATGGTATGAGCACCAACTAACCAGACAGAATTACCCAAAATAACGATGTAACTATCTTCTGGTTTCATGCCCATTCAAACTAACGGGGAAATAAAAGCCAACAGATATGATATTATCATAAAATCAAGAAATTCAAGAAGTCTATGCTTATTGACATAGCAGTACCATCTGATAGACACACCTCCATAAAAATTATCGAGAAATTGTCCAAATACAAGGACCTGGAGACCGAGATGAACAGCATATGGAGAATGAGACTGTGCAAATAGTAATCGGAGCTCTGGGTCTCGTGAGAAAAGGAAATGGACAATTTTACTAACACTGTCCAAGGTAACATCAACATCCACGTATTCTCTATATCTATGAGATTAGGTATTATGATTATTTACATTATTTACAATATATCATAATTATTTACATTATTTATTAAGATTGTTATCCGCATCTTTATTATCATATTCGCAACGTTTCAACCTTCTTCAGGTGATCTGAATTTCGAACCGAACCCTTTATTTCATGCACCGGGGTATATTGTTCTAGTTCCAGGTGCCATGCCTCTTCTGGATGTCTCGGTTGTTTCTTCAAGTTTTGACTCACCACTGCTGTGGCCTGGTATTGAACTCACAACGCTTTTTGTCTAGTTACTGGATCTAACCAGCGTCTTTATCCACTGGGCCATGTGTGGGCCACAGATCCTTTGTATTTTCTCCGACAATCCCTTCACATAGGGTAGGCAGACTGAAGCTGTTTTCTGACTGCTGTTATCCTATTTTGTTGGTGCTGCTGTCATGTACCCTTAAGTTAAGACTACAAGGAATTCGTAAAGCGGTAACACGAGGGAAAAATAGAAAACTCGGAATTGTGAGTTCAATATCAGACCACAGTTGTGGTGAACCAAAACTGAGAGAGTTGAGTTAAAGGGAAATAACTGAGACATCCGAAAGAGGCATGGCACATGGAACGAGAACAATCTACCTCAGTGCACGAAATAAAAGTTTTGTTTCGAAATTCTAACCACCAGAAGAAGGCCGGAGCGTACAACGGCCGAAACGTTGTGAATATGGCAATGAAGATGAGGATAACAGTTCGAATAATGTAAATAATGCAAGTAACATCCAAGTTGCCCAGAAGATCGTCCTACTAGGAACATCCCATATACCAAGAAAAGTGCTATCAATTAAATGATAATTCTTCTATAGGGCCTAAGGACCATAGTTTGGACCCAGCTCTACAGGAAACATAAAATACACGAATAATAATAATAATAATAGTAGGAAATAAAAAGCACGGTGGAATAATGGATAGGATCTAAGGACTATAGTTTGGGTCTGGCTCTACAGGACACAAGGCGAGAAACATAATATACAAAATAATAAAAAATAATAGTAGGAAATAAAAAACGGTGGAATAATGGATGGAATAATGGATAATATACACAAATAATAAAAATAATAATAGGATCTGGAATAATGGACTATAGTTTTTGGGTCTGGCTCTACAGGACACAAGGCGAGAAACATAATATACACAAATAATAAAAAATAATAATAGTAGGAAATAAAAAGCACGGTGGAATAATGGATAGGATCTAAGGACTATAGTTTGGGTCTGGCTCTACAGGACACAAGGCGAGAAACATAATATACACAAATAATAAAAATAATAATAGTAGGAAATAAAAAGCACGGTGGAATAATGGATGGGATCTAAGGACTATAGTTTGGGTCTGGCTCTACAGGACACAAGGCGAGAAACATAATATACACAAATAATAAAAATAATAATAGTAGGAAATAAAAAGCACGGTGGAATAATGGATGGGATCTAAGGACTATAGTTTGGGTCTGGCTCTACAGGACACAAGGCGAGAAACATAATATACAAAATAATAAAAAATAATAATAGTAGGGAAATAAAAAAGCACGGTGGAATAATGGATAGGATCTAAGGACTATAGTTTGGGTCTGGCTCTACAGGACACAAGGCGAAACATAATATACACAAATAATAAAAAAATAATAATAGTAGGAAATAAAAAAGCACGGTGGAATAATGGATAGGATCTAAGGACTATAGTTTGGGTCTGGCTCTACAGGACACAAGGCGAGAAACATAATATACACAAATAATAAAAATAATAATAGTAGGAAATAAAAAGCACGGTGGAATAATGGATGGGATCTAAGGACTATAGTTTGGGTCTGGCTCTACAGGACACAAGGCGAGAAACATAATATACACAAATAATAAAAATAATAATAGTAGGAAATAAAAAGCACGGTGGAATAATGGATAGGATCTAAGGACTATAGTTTGGGTCTGGCTCTACAGGACACAAGGCGAGAAACATAATATACACAAATAATAAAAATAATAATAGTAGGAAATAAAAAGCACGGTGGAATAATGGATAGGATCTAAGGACTATAGTTTGGGTCTGGCTCTACAGGACACAAGGCGAGAAACATAATATACACAAATAATAAAAATAATAATAGTAGGAAATAAAAAAAGCACGGTGGAATAATGGATAGGATCTAAGGACTATAGTTTGGGTCTGGCTCTACAGGACACAAGGCGAAAACATAATATACAAAATAATAAAAATAAAAGCACGGTAATAATAGGGATAGGAAAAAAAAGCACGGTGGAATAATGGATGGGATCTAAGGACTATAGTTTGGGTCTGGCTCTACAGGACACAAGGCGAGAAACATAATATACACAAATAATAAAAAAATAATAATAGTAGGAAATAAAAAGCACGGTGGAATAATGGATGGGATCTAAGGACTATAGTTTGGGTCTGGCTCTACAGGACACAAGGCGAGAAACATAATATACACAAATAATAAAAAAATAATAATAGTAGGAAATAAAAAGCACGGTGGAATAATGGATAGGATCTAAGGACTATAGTTTGGGTCTGGCTCTACAGGACACAAGGCGAGAAACATAATATACACAAATAATAAAAATAATAATAGTAGGAAATAAAAAGCACGGTGGAATAATGGATAGGATCTAAGGACTATAGTTTGGGTCTGGCTCTACAGGACACAAGGCGAGAAACATAATATACACAAATAATAAAAATAATAATAGTAGGAAATAAAAAGCACGGTGGAATAATGGATAGGATCTAAGGACTATAGTTTGGGTCTGGCTCTACAGGACACAAGGCGAGAAACATAATATACACAAATAATAAAAATAATAATAGTAGGAAATAAAAAAAGCACGGTGGAATAATGGATGGGATCTAAGGACTATAGTTTGGGTCTGGCTCTACAGGACACAAGGCGAGAAACATAATATACACAAATAATAAAATAATAATAGTAGGAAATAAAAAGCACGGTGGAATAATGGATAGGATCTAAGGACTATAGTTTGGGTCTGGCTCTACAGGACACAAGGCTCATAATATACACAAATAATAAAAATAATAATAGTAGGAAATAAAAAGCACGGTGGAATAATGGATAGGATCTAAGGACTATAATTTGGGTCTGGCTCAAACACAAGGCGAAAACATAATATACACAAATAATAAAAATAATAATAGTAGGGAAATAAAAAGCACGGTGGAATAATGGATAGGATCTAAGGACTATAGTTTGGGTCTGGCTCTACAGGACACAAGGCGAGAAACATAATATACACAAATAATAAAAATAATAATAGTAGGAAATAAAAAGCACGGTGGAGTAATGGATAGAATTGAAGAATCGGGTAACCGAGTTCGAATTCCAGTCGAATCCATTACTTTTACGTGCTAATAATACATTTGGGACAAATATAAATCCTCTTCTTCTCCCCTTAGCTATGGGTAAATAACAGAACAGACCGGGTTCTATAGACTTTGATGGCAACTGGTCTACCGCAGAAAGAAATGGCAAACTACTGCGGGAAAAAAATCTGCCTCGTCAGTCATGTATCGAAATATACATGATCGCCTAAGCGTTTATAACGCATGGCACATAACTGAGTAAATGAAAATGGAGGAATTGATGAACACTAACTAAGAATATAGCAGAAGATAAGAATATAACTAACCGCTCAGGGAAAAGGTGTTTTAAGGAGTCGACTGTAGCCGGGATCACCAGGGCTAACATATTTTCTGCTAATTTAGAATTATAAAACCTTTCTTTCTTCTCCTCTAACACTTGAACGAAAATCCAGAATGGTTGCGGGAATGGTGGCAACCATGAGGACAATGGTGCTGACGGGAAGTGAGGGCAAGAAGTAGTAGGGGCAACAACAGTAGAATGAAGAAAGAGACGCAAGACGTAAGTGGGAGGGAGAATCGAACAGCCGTGGCCTTCTTCGTTGCTCGGGAAAAACTGACAACGCACAACCCGTTGTACGCACATTCATACAAAGCGGAGTGGCGGGTAGAGTTATATTATGGCTGTAGTCTGTTTTCAACAGGGTGAATTCCCAGCAAACAAGGCATTGATTTTTTAAATTCCTGCTTCCTTGACCAAACACAGCCTGCAGTTACGGCGTCTATTCCAAGCCAGACCGCCCGTTTTGTTTTGTTTTTATTCAAATCATTTTTCTTCAGTCGTCCACCGGTTATCGTTGTCCCAATTGTTTTTTCTTCTTTTCTTCCTTCAGTTCATTCTTTCGCACTCTGTATACTTTCTCAACTTGTATCTTCATCCATTTTTTTTTTCTCCTTTTAACATCTTTCGAGTTGTCCACTTGATTCCTTCTCATGCAGTCAAGATTATTTGCTTCTTAGTCTCACACTATGAATTTTCATCAAATGCTCTAAAGTCAGTCATTATAATTGAAATTTATTTCTTTTAGAAAGACGTTCATCATTTACTCCACATTCATTCTTTCATGTTTTTGATTTCTCCTTTGTTCTTTTCTTTTCTTCTATATTCTTTACTTTCATTTCTTTCTCTTTTCTTTTCTTCTACTTTAATTACTTTCATTTCTTCCTCTTTTCTTTCTTTCTTAGTTTCTTTCTTTCTTTCTTTCTTTCTCTTTATATTTCTAAATATATTTTCTTTCCTTCTTTTCTTTCTACATCCTTTTCTCTTTTTATTTTGTATCCTTTCCTCTACTTTTTCTTCTTCCATCCTTCTCGCACATTTTTCTTTCTTTCTTTCTTTCTTTCTTTCTTTCTTTCTTTCTTTCTTTCTTTCTTTCTCCTTTTCTGAAATTTAGTTTCTTTCCTTATCTCTCTACATTTTCTTCGTTCTTTTCGATTTGTATACTTTCCTCTACCTTTTCTTATCCCATCCTTCAGGCACTTTCCAAAGGGGCTGTACGCTGAGATCCCCGATAACATCTAGAGGTTAGCTTCTTGAAAACAAATCGACCATGGTGCGATTCGAAACCGGATCTCATGGTCGGAAAACGAATATAAATAGCATATGTGGATATTTGCTATGAATCTCCCTCTCTCTCATTCTCTCTCTCTCTTTATATATATATATATATATATATGTGTGTGTGTGTGTGTGTGTGTGCGCGTTCCATCCTTTTGTCTTTTTATTTTGAATGTAATTAGAACGAAAATAAAACACATTTTAACGTTCACAGCATTAATTCAAAAGAGGGCTCATTTATCATATTTTTTTATATACGGACAAAAACAATTACTCATTACAAAGATGCATTTTTCGTTTTTTCGATTGTCGAACAATCACGTTTTCAAGATAAACACTCAGTTGTGGAGCAAGCTGAGCTGAGATCCCCGATAACATGAATACTAATTCAACATTGAGAAAAAGAATATAAATTATGGATATTTGCAATGGAGCATCTCATTATGCTAATGTATATATATCCATTGCTTATATATGTGATTGGCTGTGTGGTACCTGAGTGGAAGTATTTCTATATAAATACTAGCATGATTTCTCAAACACATTTTAGGGTTTGTATTAATTTAAAACCTGGCTTATTTTTGTCTTTTTTATATACGCTAGCTGGGACAATTACTCATTAAGTGCTGTTTATTATTGTTATTCTACATAGATGAGCGGGCATCTCGACTGGTGAGAACTAAAAAAATTATAATATATATATATATATATATATATATATATATATATATATATATGAAATGTAGTAAGTTCGACAATTATCTAATATATTTTCTGTTTATACGTTCTTTTTATTGATATTGAAGTAAATGTTCCGTTTTTTAACTAATTACATTTACCGGCTTAAATTTTCGAGAAATGTCATAGAAAATATACATTCTCCATCAGAAATCGAGTCTGTGTCCTATACGGAACCATCATTTAATCTGACGTGCTATAACACTTAGCTATGGAGAAGAATCTTAGTGCATTTCATTATATGTTGTCATTGTTTACGTTAAGGTACGTCGCTTGAGCAGATAGGACGGTTCGGGAAAGATGGTCGAATATTTGTTGCTTAAAAAAATTAATTTGAAATTTGTTAACAAAACACATCCATGTCGTATATTTTAAAATGTATCTATTAAAATATATATATATAATATATATATATATATATATATATATATATATATATATATATCACTGATGAGCTGTGATACAACGAAACACTCTGTCTATGGATGACTATTTATGCTCTCGAAATAAATCGGTTGAGCTATCGAAGAGGGAAGTACGATTTTATAAACAGTTGCGGCTGCTGCTGATGCAATGCTTTTCAACTAGAATAGAGCTCTCATAGCCACTGACGTAGTAAAAAAACATTAATATTTCCCTTTCTCTCTGCCGTGCGATGATAGCTTGGGGGTTGAATCTTCTGTTTATATGTTATTTTAATAACGTATAAAGAGAATATATATATATATATATATATATATATATATTTAGTTTATGGAAAACTAGGTAATCCGTATGGGTAGACCCAAAGAGGATGAAAAAAATAAAAAATAATTCTCAAACTAAAATCTTTGTCCATTTGTTTCTAAATATTTTGTGCATTTATAATTCAACTAGTTTTTTTATTTATTTAAAATAATTAAGAAATATAGATTTTTTTCTGGTACAATTAAGAAAAAAAAAGAATTTAAAAAAATAATCAGCAGTAACTTAAAAGATCTTTTGTAGAATTTGCATAAAGTGAATATCCATAAAAAAATGTATCCTTTCGTCTCCCCCCCCCACTTATGTCAATTGTGTACAGAAAGGTTGGAACTGAATTATATATTTTTTAATAAAATTTAGAAAATATATATATATGATCTGTATATATGCTATTTTTATAGAATATGTGTGTGCGTATGTGTTAAAATGTAAAAGTTTCACGTGATGCTCATTTTTAGGACTTTATCGGACTAAGTTTGTTTCCGTTGATGCGACTACACATGCGCACGAACGAGAGACGCTGTTTTAAAATGTAAATAATCTAAGCGATTTCATTTAGATACTTTTTTTTTTTTGCTTCCATCGCTTTTGTTATTACATATCCCACACGGTGATCATAGAAGTTCTGCCAAGAGAGATGAAAACTGTAAGGATCTAGAAGAAAATTTACTGTGGACGATCTAGCGATTAAAGCACTTTCTATACATTTTCGTTTTAGTGAATGGAAGCAAAACATTTTCGTTTTGATAATGGAAATAACCTAAATGAAATCGGCTAGATTATATCCCCAAAACAAGTATAAAACAAATTTAAATTTAAAATACCGAGCGTGGCATTCGTGCACAACGTAAAAAACATGCCTTGTCCGATGAAATCTTAAATGGCAAAACGCGCTACCCAAAACATTTCCTCCGTTTAAGCCCCAAATTGATTATTTTGATATTTAAAATATATATATATATATATATATATATATATATATATATATATATATATATATATAGATAACTAGACTCAGTTTTCGAAAAACCCTCGAATTTTTGATTTGCTAATCAAATCAATCTCGAGGAAAAAGGTTTTAAAAAAAGAAAGAGCTACAAACATGAACTTCTGCCGACAAAAAAAAATCGCACAGATGCAGGTCTGAAGCCCAAAGAAAAAAACCCGATACGAGTAACAACTAACTAACAAAAGAGCTCAATACAACCGTAGAGCAGACCTAGATACACCTAGTTAGCCAGACAAACCTTGCCTTTAGTTTCCACCTAAACAGATCGTCAGGGAAAGTTTGGCAAACTTTCCCTGGCGATCCGTTTAGGTGAAACCTAAGTAGGTTTGTTCAACTCACTAGGTGTATATATATATATATATATATATATATATATATATATATATATATATATATATATATATATGTATGTGTGTGTGTGTGTGTATGTGTTTTAGTTATATATCTGCAAAATTTTTTCAGATATAACTAAAATATAGTTGTAAAAAGGACAATATGAATAAAGGCAAACGTAGAACTTGTTGTTACCCCATTGATTTTAGAATGTCAGAAAACCTTTGCAAATAAGTAAACCTGAAAAAGTTGATTTGAGTTATTTCAGTAGGGCAGCTGGGATTCGGTTCACTTTATCGCGCTCAAGTGATATCAAATATAAATGAGAAATAGATAGATAGTGATATGTCCCGGAAAGGGATATATTTTTTCGAAGTAGCAAAGTGGTTGTTGACTACTGTAACCGAGTAGGACAATCTAGCAGGTAAGCGAAATGGACTGGTCCTCGTCGTAGTGGTAGGCAATAGGCGTAGACAATAGGCGTCCTTCTGTACGTCCGCATCAGTCTGTATTTATGGCTGACACCAGCCAATCATATTACTGTGAGGGGGAACCCAGGTGTATGCATATTCATTACATCAGATAGATAGATAGATAAATAGATTCTAAAAAGCCTAAGATAGATAGATAGATATTGAATTTGCTTAGATGGATATTGTTGTGGCCTCGTTAGGGCCAGAATGAAAGACATAAGAGAGGAATTGAGCTAAACAAATATATTAACAGAAGCAGTAATACAAACATATACAAACGAGAGTGTTACAGCAAGAATGTTCGGCCCGGATGTCAGAGCTGACTGCCGGAAACTTCCCTCTCTAAAAGGCAGTACCTGCTCCTCTTTATAGCTGGGAGAGTCCATGCGTGCCTGGGTAAAATACAATAACAGATAGATAGATATTGCATTGGCTTAGATAGATAGATAGATAGATAGATAGATGATGCGTGTAGTATAATCGATAGTGGTTCGGAACGAGACATCGGTGAACCAAGTTCGAATTCCAGCCGGCTTCGTTTCATTTAATTTCACGCAAATATCCTTGGGGAAGTTAGGAATCCGTTTCTCTTTCCTACCAGCTACAAGTTCAGTGGGGCTCTGGGTGGCAACCAGGCTGAGAAAAGGACAGTTTTTAGTTAAAAATCTCGAGCGAGCTTGTCACAGAAACATGGTAGTTGATACTCAGAGGATTGTGTCCAAGTGTCTTCCATTGTAATATCTCGGAGTTACTGGCACTTACTTTATTTTAAATCAATTCACCCCAAGCAAGGTGATAAAGCCATTAAGATGCAAGTGGTTACTGGAAATGAAAGATAATTAAAATACGTTAGAAGGAACCAGAAACCCAATCCTAAACAGAAAACAAGGGATATACCTCTACTCCTGTTCAAAAGACCGGGGACTTGTGTGAACCTATCTACTCTTATTGTGAAAAATAAATAAATAGTAAATAAAATTTTTAGAGTTTAGATAGAAACGTCAGGGACATAGATCTGACATAGACTTTAAGAAGAAACCGGAAACCCAATCCTAAACAGGAATCAAGGGAGAAACCTCTACAAATGACCAAGGAATAGTGTGAACCAGGAGATATATGTAAGAAAATAGTACTCGAAATCGAGTAGAGAGCCATCACAGACAACACACACCCGCGCGTGAGAACACACACATATGCGCACACGCACACGCGTACGCACGCAGGGATATCTATATAATAAATGCTAATGTCACTGTGTCACACTTTTCAGTTAAAAGGGACGCAACTATCTTTTAATAGCTCATCTTCTATATAATAAATGCGAATGTCACTGTGTAACTGTGTCACAATTTTTCAATTAAAACAATACAACTCTCTAACATTCAATAGCTTATCTTCTATACAATAAATGCAAATGTCAGTGTGTCAATGTGTTACACTTTTTCATCTTTACTCCTAGAGGCCGTAACCCAACAAATTATACCATTTTGGACTCAGGAAACAGTGCGGGCCAGATCAGCAATCCTGAAATTTTAGATT